AGTAGGAGTGGGAGTAGCAGTAGCAGTAGCAGTAGCAGTAGCAGTAGCAGTCGTAGTAGCAGCAGTGGTCGTGGTGGTGGTAGTAGAAGTAGTGATGCTTGTGCTACTGGCAGTTGCAGTGGTACTTAGTAGTGGTGGAGCTGGCAGTCGTCGCGGTCGCCGGGTGGCTGCTGCTCGCTGGTGTCGTTGCTGATTACTGTCTTGAGACCGCGTAGATGCGATCGACAAAGAGAAGCTAAGCCTCCGGGCTAAATCCAAGCGCTGCACTGTCTCGGCGATGTCGATCTGAGCACGGATGATGTTGGACAGTTCAAGGAAGCACGTGTGGGGTTTCGGGCATTTCGGGCTTCAGCAACTAAAGTGTGTTCAGCCAATCACTTCAGGAAGCTCATTGGCCATTTCTTCGTGTTGGCTCGTGACTTGCTCTTTCAATCCCGAGCTGGCAAGGTCCTAAGGTATCCCGTAGAGTAGAGCTTTTGTCGGGTTGTGGCAAGACTTCAGGCTGTTCCGAGCAGTTGTTCCGAAAGCCCTATGAAGGTACCTTCTTCAAAGTACCAAGCAGCCACTTCACAGCTCCACATCAATATTATATTGTAGTATACTATATTATTTTAATTTTATATTGTTATATCATATCATATTATAGTATATTATATAAGCCTGGTTCTTGAACAGCTGGAAAGTAGCTGCTCGGGCCCTGCACTGCCAAGATCTCGCCTCGTAGGACGTGGGCTTGGAGCTCATCTCCAGCAGCTTTTGGAGCCCAGTCGCGAGCTCTTCCAAACCTCAAGGGAAGACGTGAGCTCTTCTAAGACATGAAGGGGGCACTGTACTGTGGGAAGTTTCTCCGAGAATCTCACGGGTCTCTGAGCTTCTATGTAGTATAGCTCAGAAATAGTATTAGGAATCATTATTCCTACCCAGAGAATACTTCCACCTCGACTGCTCCATTCAGATCTCAAAAGAGTGTCTACAACTCCACGGTTCGGTCAGGTCATTCTTCTGGGCATCTTGTGGTAGGGTTTGTCATGTCACACCCAAGCAGACAGGAATGGAGGAAAACGGATCAATGCTCGATACACCATAAGGTACCACACTATGCCATAATATGTCAACATATATCTCAGTTTTCTAGAACATGTAAACATCATATACCATTTCATAAGACCCCAGGATCCTCTTCTCTGTCTGGCCTCTGACCATGCCTCTCACGCAAGCTAGCTGAACCTCAGCACCCCTCATCCACACTTTTTGGTACCCGCCCCCCCACCCCCCTCCCCGGCCCCAACGCGTCTTTTGCCACTATGTATAATGGCAAATGAAGGCTGCCGTAGTGTGGTGATCTTGCACCATTACACCGCCAACAAACCCGAGACTGTGGTTCGATAGGGCTCCAGATCGCCCAGCACTTCCAAGCACAGACTCTCCCGAATCCCAAAACAACCCTAGGGTTCAGGTTTAGGGCTTTGGGTTCCGAGTATCCTTCTGAGAAGTAGGTCCTCGAAGGAAGGGTGAGCCAGCGGCCCGGGCTCCTACTTCTCTCTGTCTACGATCTTCAGGTGAAATGCTGGAGACCATGCTGGACCCTAAAGCACAAACCCTTGAAGCACCTTTATAATGCCCCGGAAATCCCCCCTACATTCGAATTCCTTCCGTTGGGTCTGCCTACAGCCCTCGCGGCTGCAACTCCTGGCAGTATCTGATGCTTTCATGGGTTTAGGGCTTAGGGTACTAGGGTATTTGGGTTTAGCATGGTTTAGGGCATTCAAGTGTAGGGTAACATGAAACAACAGACTCCCTGCCCTCGTCGTCTCAAAGTCTCTAGGGCTTGGGCCAAGTCGTCCATCGGAGTCCATGTCCAGGGCAAAAAACAAGTCGTACCTGATGGCTCTGTGATGCTTTGTGGAATGGGGATGCGGAGAACAACCTCGGGAAGGGGAAGGATAGCTTGCCCCCAAACACCTTAAATCCTATCCCAAGCCCAGAATGTTCAACGTCAGGGAAGGCAACGTGCAGCGGTGGAGGATGCGGCTGCAGTGCTACAAGGGCGCATGGGCTTTTGCTGTTACAGCGTCATCACAGGTCTGGAAATCAAAAAAGGCCAACCTGGATCAGCATCATACAAGCATCACGCATCTGACCTCACATGACACGACACCAAAGTGGGCTGATCTTTGCCTTGGCGGCTTTTCAGTCATCCCCAACACTTGATGCCAAACATTTGCCTCACCTCATGTCATGAACTGTTCCACTTGCGACCCTAAACCCACTTCTACAACAGGTCACTACAATGTCAACTCTCGTCCTTTAGGAAGTGTTGGGCACCATGGAAGCCGCAATCCCGATGAGATCAGGTCAATATCAGGAGACACCTGGCCAATCGTCAAAAGACGCGTACGGTGACGGACAAAGCTTTCGAGCTGAGGGTTTCTATTATCAACATCTCCTGGGGCACAAAACGGGGAGCCAGAAGGATAACTACAGGGGTTGCTATAAGGGCTATACCATCTACATAATCTTGAAAGGAGCCGTCCTACATGCTGCGCACGTGGTCGTAAGCCGCTTTTCGTTGAGAATGATTCAGACTCAAACTGAGCTGAACAGGACTGTAACGTTGATCCTGGAGAGTATGAAAAGCATGAGGAGAAGAATGAAAGAATACTATGATGAGGAGCATGATGACTCTGTTACGAAGATTATGCTGATGACGACGCCGATCGGTAAAGGTCTGACTGGTAAGTTTGTCAACTCCCTTACACATCTTTTTATGACCACATCATGGACCTATGAGAATTTCTTCGGCGGTATCTGCCAGCAGCAACGCTCATTCTGACTCACAGCTGCGCGCTGCGCTACTACGGACCCTCGTGTCACTGGAGACCCTATAGAGAAGCAGAGCTTGCTTGCGCAAATCTATCCCAGAACTACACAGTTGTCCCTCCGCATCACTTAAGACTGAATATTTCGTTCGTCCTAAGTGTCGGCAACATGCCTGTGCATAGACCACGAGGAACAAGTGCTGTAGCGGATCGAGGCGAGCGAAGGAGGTCAAGAGCTGTAGCCTGGGAAGGTTTTCATTATACAGTATGCGCATATATATATATATATATTATACACACGCACACACATGTCCATTAAGAACATACAGGTCACTTATATGTCTATATGTTGTAATTTCTGTAAAGTCTTGGGATTAAGGCAGGCAGTCTTGCTGGAGCAGTCCTGCGGCTCGCTCGCAGCTGCACGGTTGATTGAGTTTGCAGAACAAGAAACTGGAATTGAGTGAAGATGTCTGAAGCATCTGAGTGACGGTGTACTTCCCAGCACTCCCGGGCAGTTTTGGTGCCGACATTCCAACCTTCCCGCAATCTACAACCCACATAGATACCGCAAGTACTGCAAGGAACAACAGCTGAACCCCGCATAGGAACAACCCAGATTCATGCACCCCCCTCGCCCACGAAGAAAATAGCATCCCTTGCGCGGCTCGACAAGGACATACAAGGACAACATGAGCTCGCGGCAGTGGCTGCACACAAGTGGCGAGATGCTGCAACGACAGCTCCTTGCCGGGGAAATAGTCTGACATGATCTGACAGGAGTGTTTATCTGCTATCAAGTGGGATGAAGTATGACATGACTCTGACAGTGCGCAAACACGCACACACAATCATGCAGAAAAACACATACAAGTAGCGTGTTCACGGGGTGTGGCAGGTGCCCGCGGAATAAGCACGAAGGATGCAGGTGACTAAAACATTATGGTCTAGTGAAGGATTCTGCACCGGAGCTCGACGGAAATCATGATGGCTAGACAAGCGCAGCAAGGCCGATGACCAACATCATCCCCGAACGATGCAAGCAACTCCCCAGCAGACCGCTCCTTGTCCAACAGAGGCGAAAAGTTCCTGTGTCGATGTGTGCGCAAAGAAAGATTTGTTCAATTGCCAGGCAAGTGTAAGCCAGGCATGAGCTGAAGCTAGGAATGACATCATGTCTCATCCGATTCTCACTACTATCACTATCGTTCTTCACACGCAACGAATACTACCATGAGGTTCTAGTGCTAGTACTATTTCCTAGAGTTTTCGAATGTGATTGTAGAAAGCACCCTGGCCAATTGTAAGCGGTTCGGCACCACCCCTCTTGGCCTCTGCTCGTCCAGCAGCACGACTGGTGTACTCACGGCAGAGTGCCTTTGATGGGCGACTGACTAAACGGCAAATACAAACATCGATCGCATGGATGGACAGAAGCGTGGGTATGTGCTTATGTATGTTTGTATGTATGGACACACACTTCTGTAGGGAAGAACAGAATGTACTGGGTATGTGGGACAGACCATCTGTCGGACTACAAACCAACATGAATTTAGAACTCGAACTTGTAAGGCCCCCACACAAGCCACACGTGCTGCAGTGCCTTCCGGATGTCCAGCCTCTTGGCTTCCTGATCCCAGCGGTACTGCGCGGCAGTCGCAAGCGAAACTCTTACGACCCCGAAACCCACGGGTGTCTAGGCGGCAGCTTGTCATGTGCTGCACGAGTGCGGCGGCGACTTCTGAGCTGTTTTGACGGACGTTGCTGTTCGAGTGTATCGGCGCAAGGTTCTGCGACTTGAGTCCAGCTGCTCTGAATTTGGCCGCCACTTGGCCCGAGTAGCCTTCCCTCCCAGTCCCCATGGCACTATAGTCACTATGGGTCACTACCTGTTTGTTTGTTCAAACCTTGGGAAGCCTGACAGGGCAAACACAGCAAGGTCCCAACATGCGCTTCTGCTTCGAGAGCTTGCACCAGGCAATCCCGAGCAACACTCAGTTGTGGAGTCTTCTTCATCCGCACAACCTGGAGCAAAATTGCTTGGTTGCTGCCTCCACAACCAGAAGCTTGCTGACAAAGTCCTGCGGAAGGCTCTACATCGCGAACTCCGCTCGACATTCCAAGCAACAACGCATGATAACTTGCATGCCCTGCTGAGCTCCGCAGGCCCTGTGCACACCCTGTGCAGGTACTCTGCACAAAACATGAACATCAGAGCAACTGCTTCAGGCACTTCGTACCATGGCTGCCATAACTGGGAAAACGACGATGACAGCGTCAAGACAAGAATCCGAGCACAACGGATGGCTGGAGGCAGTGGTCCTTGGCTTTTTCTGAGCACTTCTGCCAGCCGGTGCGGAGCTTGTCGTAATTCCCTGCGCTTGGGCGGCATTCGTTTAGGACGGTGTTGGAAGGCCACGGGATTGGTTCAGGTGGTGTTGTTATAGGCACTATGTCGTACAGCTCGTTCTTTTTTCTGCATCCAGTCTTCGCAATAATGTTGTACTATGAATAGAAGACTAATGCGCAAAAACAATCGTTTGACCTGCTACCCCAACCTCAGAGCAAAGGCCAAGAATACGGCTTCGCAGTCTCAACTTCAATGCCGACTTTCTGCAGACTCCATCAGTAGTAGTCTGGCGACTCTGGACACTTGGGCAACCCCTTCCCGCCCGAGCCCGATTCTGCGGCCCGCTGCACCTGCCAATATCCGCTGTGAGGTTTCTGCTCGAGTTTCCGTGCCTCGTGCAGAAGCATGATTCAGAAGCATGACTGCGGAGCAGAGCTTGCTCTAGACTCTAGACTTTAAGTAAAAACCTGAGAACACCTGCTACCAGCATCAGGATTGTTCAGAGCATGCAGGTGATACGATTCTTCAAGGGCCTTCCGAGCATCATAACCGGCCGTTCAGCTGACTCACTGGAATTCGTCAGATTCCAAGGTAGAAACAATAGGTCGGGCTTAAACAGAAACACCGAAGCAACCCTGCAAGCCTGAACTCCAGACGTGTCTAGGTTCACGGTTGATTTTCGAATGGACACGCGTGTGAAAAAGTGTGCCAGGATAGGCGAGCCATAGGCCCTGAACATGAGGTGGGAACCCGCTGTTGCTCTCTAAACCCCAGACCTAAACGACTAAACCCTAAAGAACTAAACCCGAAACCTTCCATCTCGAAGAACTCTGGTTAAAGCCTGAACTGGCGCAGCCGGCCTTCTCCCCTTCGGTGCAAGGCTTGTTTCATTTACGGACTAGGTCTTTAGGGTTTTAGGCTCAAGGTATAAAGTCTTCTTGTAGGTGATACTGACCGCTGTAACCGGGCTCTTGCGACAACCGCCGGACGAACAACCAAGAGCCTCAGAGAAGGAGCACAAGAAGTGGATCCAATACTTCAGTTACGGCAAACCATCGAATGATGTGAACCTCCGCGGGGTTTAGGCTTTAGGATGTTGGACTGCTGTTTGTAGGGTTTGGCTTCGAGGGTGAGGGCGGATGCCACAAACGGGACATACCTACCTACCTACCTACCTGCCTGCCTGCCTGCCTGCCTGCCTGCCTGCCTGCCTACTTACCTACCTACTTCAGTTTGCACATATCGCCCATTGAATGCAAGTGGCTGGTTAGCAGGTAAGCTGATGCGAACAGCGGGACAGTGATATACAAAACATCTGCTCGCATGCATGTGTGTAGCTAAGCATCTCTCTCGCTTGGCCATGGTATGCTATGTTGCGGCACATTACGCCGGAAAGCTATGTAGTTAACATATGGTTATATGGGAAAATATGCACCAGCAGCACGCACGGCCTGTGATCCTGAAGGGACTGGCCCCCACCTTGATCGTTCAAGGGCTTGAGACTGCTTTTGCAGGCGTGGGCCGCTGGGACTTTTCGGCCTTCTGTCTGTTACGGGTTTCTGATCATACCCTGCGTATCGACACCTGGCCCATGGGGTTTTGGGAGAGGCAGCGATGACATGCAAGGCGCATGCGCATGAACGGCCCTCTCTAGACCCTAAAGCCCTGAAGGGCTGGGCCGGTTCATATTCGAGTAATGTCGAGGCCTGAATAACTAGAATAGCAAAATAATGGTGGTAATTACTTAGGCGTCTATATTAGGAGGATGCAAAAGTGCTCAGTTCCGCATTAAAGACACCAACCCAATGTTTCGTCGTGAAGTGTAGGCCGCTGAAGCATGATTACTGCGTCGCTAGGAGCTTTGACTTCAGAATGTCTTTCAATCAGAACTGATTTCTGTTACTACTTCTGTTACTCTTATTAATGCTTTTGCTACTATTCTTCTTCTTACTATCATCAACATCAGTTTTATGCTTTTTTGAGGCTCCTTGACCTTGGCCTCACCAGGATCCAGGCCAGGAGCACATAAAGGACCACACCAAGCGACCAAATGTCAGCGCCTAGGAAGCCGCAGAATGAAAAGTCCAGGGGTGTAGGTGCTTGGGGGTTCAGGGTTTGGGGCAAAGTGACAGTCTCTAGGGATGCACTGCGGTGCGGCAAATCAGGTGGGTGACGGGTCAGTGGGCTAAACCCTAAACCCTAAACCGCCTCCATGTGTCCCCAATCCCTGGCCTTCCATCCCCCAAACATCCCCAAACCACAGGCAGTACTCGCAGATGGGCGCAAGGCACAAATGGAATCCGGATGTTGCGAACCAGAAGAGTACAAAGGCCGCTGGAAACCCACAGAAAGCCGAAAAGGCCCTGTGATCGCAAAGCGCGATGGAGGAAGCTATTTCAAGTTTCGCGCCATGACACTGCAGATTACGCCTGCCAAAGGGATCCGTCGGTGCCTGAGGCCGAGGCAGGTGTCTGCACCCCGACGGGCGTAGATCTCGGGCGCTGTGTAGGACAAGGTGCCTGAGGTCGTCTCAGTCAGCAAAACCTTTGTTGTCGTCCGTCGCGGTCGCGGTCTCTGCTGCCGTTGTGTTTTTTGTTGGGTTTGGTGCTTTTGCTTTTCTTTGTTGGTGTGGTTGTGGTTGGTTGTGAGTTATGGGTTGCGGGTGTGCTTGTGGTTGGCGTTGTTATTGCTGTCGTTGCTGCTGTTGTTGTTGTTGTGGTCGTCGTCGTCGTTGTTCTCGTTCTTCGTGGCGCATTCACAGTTCACAGGTGGGCGGAAGCAATCAGCTGAGCTTGCCGCCTATCCTCCCCATTGCACGCGGCCTCGTGCTGCATGGCTGGTACAACTACATGCACTCCGCGTGCATGTGCACAGAGAGCAGCCTAGACCCAATGGGCGAGCTGCTTCCAGTGTGCTTCTCGCAAATGCTGCTTGCGGTTCTGCTACAGAGTCGGCTTTCGAGACTGTGCCTTCATTCTGCCATTCCCACTGCTGCAAACTATCAAAGAGTTACCTACCCAAGAACTCTGCATCCCTTTTTTGCGACCATCTGAATGACATGAGGCGCGCAGCCCGAATCGCACTGGAAGGGCTCTCAGTTGCGGGCATCTGTGGGCTCAGCTGCACTGCCGTGCCGAAATCACAGAGCTTGATGACACTTCCTCAGACAGTGACTTTTGATCTTCGCAGAGTAGCTGTGTAAGGCCATGTCTCTCACAAGCACATTGAAGATATATAAGTCTTTCTGTACGTGTTATCATGATTAGCATGCTCATTATTGATACCCTCGGTCTTGTTATTCCATTATCATCATCATCATCATCTTTATTGTCATTGTGATGACTAGACGCTTATCATGGGTTTCATCACTAACATTACTATTGTTAATCAGTTAATCCTTCAGAGATAACTTTCTTGATGCATCCAATATGGAGGCCTTCATAATTAGAAAAGGGTTGTGGGGCGCATTATACTATAATTACAATAAGGAACCCCCCAACTAGTATTGGCAATTTATTGGTAATTATTAAACTACTCTTGTGGCAATTGTTTAAGGCGCCTATATTAGGCAGTCGTATTCTTGGCTCCCCGCCTTCTGGAGTTCCGGGGTTTCCCAGCAGCAAGAAGTTTTCAGTCCTTGGGAGCGGGCCATTTTTGGCTTCTACAGAGAAGTTTCATAGCACTAGAAACCCTAAACCCCTGAGTCACTGAAGCCCGAAACCCAGAAAGCCTAAACCCAAAGTCCTGTCCTCTAAACCCCAAATCATAAAGGATCTGGCCAGGATTTAGGGAAAGGATCGCTGGTCTGTACCGAGAGCGCGGCTTGATGTCGCGGTGCACTATCCTTGCCTTGTGAAGGAATGCAACCTCAAGCGGTTCAGGGTTTATGGGTCTAGGATTAGGGGTTCAGGGTTCAGTGGTGTGGGGTTCTAGGGTTTGGGGTTTGAATAATGAGGTTTAGGAAGTGCACACATCACCGAAGCACGAAGGATTCTTTACCCACTGACTAGAATCTGCCAAGGCCCGCACAGCGTACAACATCTGCCGAAAATACGTCCTTGCTTCTGTCCTTGCCACGCTTTATCACATCAAGAATTTGCAGCATCAACTGACCTTTTTCTGTGTTTGTGCATCATATTTGTACATTTCTACACACATACACACATGTACTTATGTATGTTTACGTTTGCATCTAATTATGATATACAACTACCTGTGCTATACGGATGGATCGATGCGCTGTGCCATGCGATGCCAACTCTCTTTGGGGTCCCCGCTCTTCGAACGCGCCGCCTTCGGCTCGCCTCTGCTGAGCCTGAGACATATATATATATATACACATGTATATGTATATGTGTATATATATATATTAATATATTAATATATATATAAATAAATAAATAAATATAAATATATATATATATATATCTATTAATATACGTATATATGTACGTACACATACCCTGTATATTGGGGTTTAAGGTTTAGGGTTCATGATAGGAGGCGAAACTGGGATAGGGTCTCTTGGGGATATGCTGTGCCCATCATGCTACAAGTGTAACAGGGAACGCCGAGGAATCATATTAGCCAGATGAAGCCCTGCCGAAGACTTTGAGAAACCTCCAAAGCAGCAACTCATCGTTAACTGACTGTATTTTCTAACCTAATGTAATATATAATATAGTACAAGTATAACTTCGTATAATCTGGCAGAGTCTAGTATAGCATTAGCTCGCAGCTTCTGTCAGGTGCCCGGCTGCAGCGGCGATGTACTCGTAGAGCTCCCCACCACGGCAAAGCTCAAGCCTGAAGCTTATACTAAAATATAGTGAAAAATGTAAAATGTCGACGTTGAACGCTGGCCGGTCGCCCATGGGGCAGCAGGCCAGGCACTGTTCTGTGTGATATTCTATTGATAGCCTGCAGAAGTCGCTTGCAGAATGTGCAACAAGAGCCCTCAGCCTCTGGCACCACCCAAAGCGAATGACGCTCCTCGAAGCACTCGTACATCTTGACGATGTGCGGGTGCTCTGACCTGCTCCAATCAACAATGTTTCTGAATTTTCTTGTCGTGCAGCCAGAAATGTCCTGCTCAAACCTTCAAACCTTCTCTTCTCTGACCGCACTCTTCCATGCCAGGGACCTATCTAGCAGAGCAGATGAAGACTGCACGCTGAACTTGCAAAGCCTCTCCCTGCACCATAACGTCGAAAACTGAGACGGCAAGGCCTTGCGAGAATAGCTCTCTCCTTCTCGAAGCTTTCGCGCATGGCCTTGGCACTCATGCCTGGCAAACGGGCGAGCTTCTGGATGATTCGAACACTCGTGGTGGTGATAGCGTCCTATCCGTAGTCGTCGTAGTAGGAGCAGTAGTGGTAGCAGCAGCAAGGAGGAGCAGCAGTGGCAGTGGCGATAGCAGGAGCACCAGCAGCAGCAGCAGCAGCAGCAGCCGCAGCAGCAGCAGTAGCAGTGGCCGTAGCAGTAGCAGCAGTAGTAGTAGTAGTAGTAGTAGTAGTGGTAGTGGTAGTGGTAGTGGTAGTGGTAGTGGTAGTGGTAGTGGTAGTAGTAGGAGTAGTAGTAGTAGTAGTAGTAGTAGTAGTAGCAGTAGTAGCAGTAGTAGCAGTAGTAGCAAGTAGTAGTAGTAGTAGTAGTAGTAGTAGTAGTAGTAGTAGTACTAGCAGTAGTAGTAGTAGTAGTAGTAGTAGTAGTAGTAGTGGTAATCGTCGTAGTAGTAGTAGTAGTAGTAGTAGTAGTCGTAGTTGTAGTTGTAGGAGGAGTGGGATTGGGAGTGGGAGTAGGAGTAGTAGGAGTAGGAGTAGGAGTAGGAGTAGGGGTGGGAGTAGGAGTAGGAGGAGTAGTAGCAGTAGTAGTAGGGGCGCCCCCTACCAACTACACTTACTCTAAGCCATCTTGAGAGCACATCCGTTTTATTCGGCATTTACTGCACATTCGCCATGTACGATCATCATAAGAAGCCTCAAAATCGACTTGCCGAGTTTGCAAACTCGGCCTCTTGATTTTGGACTTGCTTCTGGGGGGGGGGGGGGGGGGGGGGGGGGATGATGTCGACAGTGTTACGCAAACGCAACCAACAAGATCAC